GTGTGTGTGTGTGTGTGTGTGTGTGTGTGTGTGTGTGTGTGTGTGTGTGTGTGTGTGTGTGTGTGTGTGTGTGTGTGTGTGTGTGCTTTTGCTGTCACGAACATAATCATGCAAAAAATAACTATTTTTAATTTTTTCGCACCGCCTCATATAAATATTTTTTGTGAGCTGCAATTCTTACACACAGCTCTGCACAGCTCCAAAAAAATAATTTTGCGTAATGATGTTAAAACTGGTACAGTACGCTCACTATGAGCACCCAGGATTTCCGAACAACGGATTTGCAGGTGGCAGTGGTGTTAGCAGTGGCATTACCGCCATGATTTTCCAATAGTTCAATGGCGTCTGAGCAGGAAAGCAAGTTGGAGTGTATCGCGGTAACAAGATGTGCGATTAAAAGCAACAAAAAGCATCTCCGAACCCAGGTTCGAACTGGGGACTTGCAGATGACTAAATCGTACTATTACAGTCTGCCACTCTTCCAACTGAGTTATTCGGAGGGCCCTACTTATTTTGCAAGTTGTACAATTTAACTACCTTTCTTAATCTCACGTGCACTTTTTGAGAGGTCTGTGGCTGGAGTGGGGCGCTTTGGGGGATGGGGGGGTATTAGGTTAGCCGTGAGTAGCCGCCCGTCAGTAGGGATCTTCGGCCGAGTTAGCCTCTCCTTGCTTCCTTCTGCGTTTGCCTCTCTCAGTCCTGTAGCCGCCTTGCTTCTGTTTCATTGCTAGCCTGCCTGGCTGCTCTCTGCTCGCTTGACTTCAGCTCCGCGCTAACTCAAGTCTGTGTGAGCCTCTTTTGTCTCTGTTGTCCTCTCTTGCTTCCAGTGGCCTTGCCTTTTTTCTGGGCTTGTGTCCTTCTTAGTCTGAACAGTCCTCCTTCTGCCGCTTGCTTTGGGTGGAGCTTGGGGTGTTGTTTCCTGCTTGAGTTAAGTTTCCTTCCTGCAACTGCTCTCCCGCGTGTCTTTGGCCAGCTTGGCCTGGCTTTGTCCTTTTTTCCGTGGGTTCTCAGTAGGGCTGGTCCTTTTCTTGAGTTGTGTTTCAGCGTCTCTTGTTCTCGCTCTTTCTTGCGACTCTTCTTCTGCTGTCAGGTCCCTGCTGGGGGCCGCTCATGTAATAGCACAAAAAAAAAAGAGGCTGGCTTAGCCTTGTCTTTTTCTTCCGTGGCTTCTCAGTAGGGCTGGCCCATTCTTGAGTAGTGTTTCAGCAGCTCTTGTTCTTGCTCCTTCTTGCGGCTCGTCTCTTGCTCCCAGGTCCCTGCTGAGGGCCGCTCACGTAAAAACCAAAGAAACAAAAAAAATTGACTTTTTGAACTTCTTATTGAACTCAGTAGATTTGATCTCATGCTACCTGCATGGCTTTTTCATAGCAGAGTTCAAAGAGTGGAAACATATTGGCATGCAGTATTTGAAGTAACTATTTCTGTGGGCAACTTTTTCCCTGCTTCCCTTGGGACACCCAGAATAAGGCGCTCTCTTTGCCAGCTTGTTCGTTCAGTGCTTTCGCACTGATGTGACATTCATCACCGTCAGTTCCTTGCCTCTTCTTCTGCTTCTTCTGTGTGTTCAATCACTTCCAATCAACACACATTCACCACCCTGCAATACATGCTTATCACCATGCGAGCAGGTGGTACGAGAAATGGCGGATTCCTGCAGGCGGGATGGCTTGGACGTGCGCTTGATAGCCAGCGGGAATGGCTCACACAGATATGTGGATTGCGTACCTCGAGTGGCAGGCAAAGAGAAGGCACTGCAGGTGTGTGGCATCAAACCTCAGTTTTGAGGACTAAGATTTTGATAAAGCACATGGAACTTGCTGAGCCCTTGACCTTGATGGACCTCTGAGGGCAAAGATAGTTTAGTAGTCTCCTTGGTTGCTCACTATCATCTCAGCTTTTTTTGCAGCATGGCAGTCCTTCTTACAGTGTGGCAGTGTTTTTGACAGCATGGCACTGCAGCATGGCAGTGCTTCTGACCGCATGGCAGTGCTTCTTACAGCATGGCAGTCCTCCTTACAGCGTGGCAGTGCTTCTGACAGCATGGCAGTCCTCCTTACAGCGTGGCAGTGCCTCTGACAGCATGGCACTGCAGCATGGCAGTGCTTCTTACAGCATGGCACTGCAGCATGGCAGGTTCTCTTACAGCATGGCACAACCGAATGATAGTCCTCCTTACAGAATGGCACTACAGCATGGCAGTCTTTCGTACAGCATATGTAAAGTGATTTAATGTACTGTTCTGTACTGTACTGTAATGTGAATGCATGTACACAAGGCTTGCCATCTGTTCCCTTCATGCGCAAATAAGCATGGCTTGCATCATGTTCCCCAAAGGCTTGCTGCCATCTTTTGTTCCCTTGTTTTGCACATACACAGAGCTAGCCATCTTGTTCCCTTGGTTTGCACGTACGCAAAGCTTGCATCTTGTTCCCCAAAAGCTTGCTGCCACTCATTTGTTCCCTTGTTTTGCACATACACAAAGCTAGCCGTCTTGGTCCCTCATTTTGCAGTACCTGCGTGACAAGTTCGACATCCCTGACCATTACTGTGTGGCTGCGGGCGATAGGTGTGTTTTATTCGAAGTTCAAGTTTAGGTTTTAAAGCCTCAGCTAAGGCAGCAAGTTTGACTGGAGGGGTGCAATTAACATTGAGAGAGAGACACACAGACAGACA